CTCTCTCTCTCTCTCTCACACACACACACACACACACACACACACACAGCAATATTGCTATAATTAGTGTGTAATCAAACCATATTAAATTAGTAATTTAATAAGTGATGCAACTAATTTGAGAAAATTAATTAAAATCCAAAACAATGTACAATAACTATCTGATAGTGAATAATAGAGAAATTAAAATAAACAGAGATTTTGAAAATTTTATCGCAAATATCTGATAAGAAATATGTATTTCACATACTAATAGTTATTTATAAATTGGCATTTATTAATTATATTTATTTTGTGCCACAACTATAAGACAAACAAAATTTTCGTGGAAACAAAATATGAGAAACTTTATGATTGCTATTGTTTTAGGAAATTATTTCACATTTAATTAGAGAACAATCGTTATGTTTGTAGATTTGTTTTTATTTATTAGTTGTGAACAATATTTTTATTTTTATTTTACAATACCTTATGAGGTTGTATTAGTTATTTGATAAAAATATTTTAAATAGATTTTATTTCAAACAGTTTATTGAACCACATTTTGATTTGCATTAATGTTAAACTTAAACTAAATGAATCTAAAATTATGTTGGAATCTTTAATTTTATTGATTACTATTTTTATATAAAAAATATATTTATTATTATATTAACTGTAAATATTAGCAGGGATTATTTTCAGGAAACTACTCATATTTCTAATTATTTTAAAGTTAAAGCAAAAATATTTTAATGTATGTTTATTTGTAAAAATATGTTTTATATAAATTGTGGAAATATGTTGTTAAACAGGGAAATATAAGATAATTATTATTATAAATATTCTCTATTGAGTCTACATTTTTAAAGTTATTTGTATTTTATCAGCTAAACTATTATCATATTTTTATGAACTTTGAAACATAAAATATTGAATACTAATTAAAGTAAACATTTAGTGTAAATTAATCACTAATTTATGAAATTTGTTTATGAAATTAACACTAAGCAATAATTAATACAAAAGAAAATTATTAAAACAATTAAAACAAAATTATTTTTGAAAATTAAAATGTAATTTGCTCAGGCCACATTACCACTAACAGTAATATTATACTTAGCCAATATTACATCCAAATAAAAACTAAACATTTTCCCCATAAACCTCACAACAATTATATAATAAAATTACAGTTTATAATGTATCAATAATGCTGAACTAATTAACTAATCAATAATATTAACCATTTACAAATTAAAACAATAAAACAATACAATAGTAGAAGATAAAGTAAAATTTTTTACAGTAATAGTTAATTGTATCATACTTAAGTTTACACTATAATGAACATGAACAAATTAATGAAGAATTGTCTAATTTCAGGTGAAATACTTTGATTTATACGGGGACACATTTGGCTACGAGAAGTACGTCAAGTTTCGACACGATGTCATACAACTGGAGCCCAATGGGGACTATGAGAGCACCGGCAGGTGGAAGATAACTACTAAGGATAACAACAACGGCGGACAAGTGACGGAACACGTGTTCGATGGGGTAATGGTGTGCACCGGACACCACGTGACACCTCTGGTGCCCACGTTTCCGGACCAACACCTGTTCAAAGGACAGGTAGTTCACACGCACTCATACAAAAAGCCCGACCCCTACACGGATAAGACAGTAGTGGTTGTAGGGATAGGAAACTCTGGTGGTGACGCCGCCGTTGAGTTGTCCGCCGTGTCCGATAAGGTATGTGTCCACTCCGAGCACCGGTAGTCTCACCAATTAGTCGTTTTCGTACAATAGTTACCAGTTTTGGCACACTTTTTATTTTCTCCGCATTCAATACATTTACTACTATTGGAGTCAAACTTTTTATTATCGTTAGTCGACTTGTTTTGACCGAAACTTTGTTTCCAATTATTATTATTTGATGTGTTGTTTGAGTTGTATTTGTCTGAAGAGTATTTGCTATCCTTTGACGACATTTTAGAAAAACACTTTAAAACAAAGAAATCAATTTTGAGTCAAATATATTCAACGCTTGTTTAAAGTGAAAATATTTTTGTTATCTAACATTAGGTAATTTGTTATCTTTTCCATAGAAATATACTAATTTTTGTGCTACACCTGTAGCCCTTTCCCCTATCAATCACTTATACGAAAAACCTGTTTTTACATGTCGATTGTGTATTAATATTCTGATACATTAGCACATTGAAATATACTTTTAACATAACCTATTACTAAATCTAATGAATTCATTTCAAGCTATAAAGTAACTTATATCTAATATAGCTAGACTTAAAAATAGTATTGCTTATGGACAGGTTTGACAAAATTTAAAATTATCCAATATTATTATACCATAAAAATAATAAATGCAGTAAGCTTTAATTCTAAATATTTTTGCCTGTATTACTTTTAAAATGTCATTGAACACAGCACATAAAATAATTTTTAATAATTCATAAGTTTTATTTTAATAGATCATTTTTATGACATATACAGTACTCAAGCTTAAAAAAATAAAACTTACTTGTTATTCAAATAAACACTAATCAGAAATTGATATTTATACTGTTTTATGATAAACCTTTAATCAATATTTATATTAAATAATTTAAAACACACCGACCAGGTATATTTATCGACTCGCACGGGCACATGGATATCATACAGAGTTGGTCCCAATGGGAAGCCGTTTGACAGCAGTTTTATCCGGCGTTACATAAACTTCTTCATGCAGTTCCTGCCCTACGGTATGATCTGTTCCGTAATGGAATGGTATGTTAACAACCGGTTCGACCATCACGACTACCAAC